AACTTCTTGACAACCAAAAGCCAGCTGCTGTTGTTGCTCCCGTTACACCAGGATATGCAGTGAAAACCAGTCATTATGGATGGGCTCGGACAGATACGTTTGTGAAAATCGACATTACCTTAACTGGGCTCAGCGAGTTCCTACTGAGAATGTGCGGGTGCATTTCACAGAGAGGTCATTCGTTCTTTTGGTAAAGAACCTAAATGGCAAGAGTTACTCCATGATGGTGAACAATCTCGAAACCCATCTCTGGCCAAGGTGGTTCAAAAAAAGTGAAGCCCAATACAGTTCTCATATTGTGTAGAAAGAAAGCAGGAAACCCACGATGGGACTACCTGACTCAGGTTGGAATAGAGTGCAGAGAGAAAGAAAAGCCTTCCTATGACGCTGACACGGATCCTAGTGAGGGACTGATGATGTTCTAAATAACATTTATCAAGATGGAGATGATACGAAGCGAACCTTTATTAAAGCCTGGGTGGAATCAAGAGAGAAGCAAGCCAAACAAGAACCAGAATTTTGAGACTCAAAAGTTCTATCAAGAACTGTGATGTGGAAATTCTGATGTTTTCAATAAGGGAATGTTGGTGAGCAGCACATATAAATTGACAGATAGCTACTTACACAGCCTTCTAAGTAAAGACAGTGGATTCTCCATGTCCTACTGGAGAATTTTATTTAAATAAAGTATGCTTATTAAACACTTCCTCTAAAGATGGTTTCATTAGCACACTGGCCATTTTGTTCAAGAAAGGATCATATTGCATTACTTGAAATAATGAAAATGCTATGTATTTTTGTTCAGCTAAGAGATAGCAAACAAAAGTATTTGCTTGCTTTTAAGTTAGTGACATCAATTCTAGTGTAAGAACAAGAAATTGTAAAACTTGAATTTTGCTTAAATACAAGTATGTCCTTGTCAGTTAATTTCTGACTACCAGTTGCGATGCATTATCATGTACCAGTAATTGTTGCAAATGGTCCTGTATGTTTAAATATGTTTATGCACCTATAGAACTGAAACTAAACAGAAATTTGACAAGAATAGACAAGAATTTTTGTATATACCAGTTAGTTTGTCATGTGTCAGAGGGCTTATGAAAGTAATAACCATAAAGCTAAAATAATTCATTTGAAATCCATTCATTCCTATAATCAATAAAGCTAGATTTTTTTTTATTCAGTGCACAAAAAAAAAAAAAAAAGAGAGAGAGAGAGGGTCTGACTACAAAGGGACAGCACATGGAAGTCCTATGGAGAGAAACGTATATATCTTGATTATGGTGATGATTACACGCAACTCGCATTTACCAAACATCACAGAACTACATATCGAAATTTTAATTCCAGTGTATATTCAAAATATTTTTGAGGCCAGGTAGGTGGTGTGGTAGTTATGGTGGCTGGACCCCACATGGTCAGCTGTGCAGTTGGAGTGCTGGACATGGCAGCTTGAAAATACAGCAGATATGTGTGCATGCCCAAACCCCCAAGAAGGAAGACATGCCTATAGCATGACCATTCCTCCTTAGGAATGCCTCCTCACTTTAGCTTTATCTCCTTCTCTACTCAGGCAAGCAGATGTGCCCTCTAGCAAAAATTGCAACATAAATAAATAAATAAACAAACTCAGCTCCGAGGCCAGCAGGTGACGTGGTGGTTAAGGCACTGGTATCTCAGATGGCTGCCCACGGTTCGAGTCCTGGACCTGGAGGTTTGCTTTCCTACTTTCCCTTTCTTTCTCTCTCTCTAGTCAAATTAAACAAATAATGATGATGATCAAAGTTAAATTAATTTAAAAAAACAATCTTGGCTCTAAATTACTCTGCCCCCACCTTATAAAGCACCCCTTTCTCCAGGGCTCTAACACTCTTCATATGTACACAAACTGTTACACTCAACATGGTAACATAACAGTTTACAACCAAGATAAGGAAATGCACAGTTTTTAAAGTTTTATTTATTATTTCTTCCAAGAGCAAGAGAGATATCAAGAAAGAGAGAAAAAAAGAGAAATGGTGGGGCCAGTAGGTGACACAGAGATCGAGCAGTTAAAGTGCCAGACTCCCATATGGCTGACTGTGGTTCGAGTCCTCGACCTGGGGCTTGAAAATCATGCTGGGCACGTGTGCATACATACCCAAAACCCCAAGAGGAGAATGGAGGAGAAAATAATGTGGTGTGGCCATCTCCCTTGGGGGATGATTTCTCACTTTCCTTCTCACTGTCTCTCTGTCTCTCTTCAGTAAATGAATGTGCCCTATGGCAAAAAAACTTAAAAAGAAAATAAAAAGAGAGAGAAAGAAACAGGACCACCAGTAGGGTCTCATAGCCACAGTCTGGCCCGAGCCCTCCGCCAGCCCCAGCCCTGGGAAAGTGTATGCCCAGCTCACGCAGGTTGGGGACCTCAGAGAGCTGCACTTCACCTATGCATCACCACTCAGTCCCAGTCACAGCTTTTTTTTTTTTTTAAAGCTGTGATCATATTAATTACATTTCTCTATGCTGACTAGATAGTAGAATTCACATAAAATTAAAGGTATCAAACATCCCACCTAGTCATACATGTATAAAAAGGACAGATGAACTTTCTGGAACTACAGATGGAACTAGCCTAAAAAAATAAATCGACCTTATGTCTCAAATAAAAAGGAGGCATTTAATAAATGCATCTCTCCCCTTTTTTTTCAGAGAGAGATTTTTACAACAGGGCATGTGCAGTCACCAGAGAGACAAAAACCAAGAAATCACCAAGGGAGGATGGCCAAACCACAATCCTTTGTCCTCCATTCTCCTCTCAGGATGTTTTGGGCAGG